CTTTTGTCTTTCTTCCTTTCCTCCTTCCCCTTTCTCTCATCCCCTTCCATCTTCTCTTCTTTCCCTCCTCCTCCCTTCCCCCTCCCCTCCCGTCCTCGAGCTCCTCACCTCAGCTGCAGAACTCCAGCACTGATGCATGAGCTCGATTATCTCCGACGGAACTGACTCATCGATCTGTTTCTCCAGCATCAGCCTCTTCCTCCACGTCTCTCCCGCAAGATCCAACTTGCGCTCCTTCCATACCAACACTGCCCCCTGAACCGCAACCATACTGAACCTTCGCATTCTCCTCTCTCATCCCTTCACTATTTCTACCTCCCTGCCCGCCAGCCTCCCAGCCTTCCTCTCTTCTTGCCTCCCTCTCTCTTCTTGTCTCCCTCTCTCTGCCTGTCTCCCTCTCTCTGCCTGTCTACCCCTCTCCCAGCCTTTCCCTGCTTCTCACCATCGGTCGGAGCTCGCCTCGTTTGATGAGTTCCAGCGTCTGCAGGAGCTCGGCGTTGGGGTAGATGGAGGAGGTGCGAGGATGGAAAAGTTCCCACAAGGTGATGGCGTACGCGTATACGTCCGATGCTGTGCTCTCCATTCCTCCATCTAGCAGCTCTGGAGCTGTCCACCAGAAAGGAAGAGCGCCTGCCGAGGGGGGGGAGGAGAATCAGGGAGTGAGAAGTAAGGAGAGGTGAGGTTGCAATCGTTGAGGGCAAGGATGAGTGTAAAGGGAAGACGAAGACAAGGACGAGGACGAGGACGAGGACGAAAGTGGAGGAGGATTGGGACATCGAGGAGGATCGCGATGGAACCAGAGCACGAAAGAAAGGGACGGGGGGACAGTGGACGACGTTCTCACCATCAGCAGAGTAGTCACGGGGAGCAAGAGCCTTCAGTCCAAAGTCAGAGACCTTGGGCGTGAGCTTGAGGTCCAGAAGGACGTTGGCAGCCTTTAGATTCCTGTGAAGCACCGGGGGCTTTGCGAGGTGGACATACTGCATGCCGCACGCGATGCCGGTAGCGATCTCCATCCTCACATCGAAGGGAAAGTCGAACTGATTGTCCGCCATGTCCCTCACGGAGCCATACTCGAAGTACTGCATGATGATCAGCTCCCTGCCCCGGTCGAGGCAGGCTCCCATGATCGGGCAGAGGTTGGGGTGCCGCATGCTGATCATGACCCGAACCTCCGCCATGATCCTCGACCGCGCCGACAGGCTGATCCCCTGCCCCCTTCCAATCAAGAGCTCGTACCTCCTCGATGCCTCTCCCTGGCTGCTCTTCGACCCACTAAAGTTCCCAGAGAAGAACGCCTCCTCCTTCGACCCAAGCCTCCTGAACACCTTCGGCTCCACGGTGCCATCCCCAGCGAGCTTGTTCAAGTCACAGTCTGTCACTCGATCGGACGGAGGACGGAAGGCCTCGCTCGAGCTCCTGCCGAAGGTATTCTGCAGCCAGGAGACCACGATGGACGTCTGATTTCCTCCTTGCCTCCCATGGTCTTCCCACGCCGAGTAGTCAGCCGAGATGCATCCTTGCGCCTTTAGCTTCATGATCCTCGAGGACGGCATGAGTCGCTTGCAGGCGACGATTCCTCCTCGAAAGATCACCTGATGCCATCAATCAGAGCAAGGAGCAAACTGCGGAGAAAAAACGGGGAAAGCAAGCAACAACAACAGCGGAGGAGCTTTACCTTGCTCACAATGCCATGGCAACCCATCCCGAGGATGCGAGGGTAGTCGTAAAACGAGATTTCTGCCCAGCTCACACTCCACAGTGATGCGTCCCTTTGCCTGATCCACCGGCGGATAATCCAGATGAGGAGGAACGTGACAAGTGCAGCAACGCCTCCCCCAATGAAGACGTTCTTCAACTCCCAATCTGGAGGGGGAGGAACGACGTCTTGGCAAGGGCAAGGCCCCTGTAAGTTGTTTGGGTCGATAGAGGAGGGGGGCCAATCAGGATTATCCAGACAGTGAAGCACATGCTCTGCGCACGTCTGCTTTGCAAAGATTGCCATGGCATTTGTCATGGTCTGTGTCGTCCCGCTCGTTCCATCCCTCACAACCCTCAGGATCGGCTTTGTGGGGAGGTTGAGAGAGGGATTTAGCTGCTGCACTCGGCTGTCATTCCAGCATGTTATCTTCCCCAGAAAGATGTCGTTGATGATCGGGCCATTGAGGCGGAGGAAGGCACCGGAACCCAGGCTCAGGTGCGCAAAGATAATCACTGCGCTCGCAAACATTGGGAGGATCTGAATGTTCTGCTGCCTAGCACACAAGGTGAGCTTGGAATAATCAATTAATGCATCTGTCCCAGCGAAGTCAATCTGACACTGCAGGATGTCTTGGATGCCAACCCCTGTGGTGCGAGAAGGTCAGGCATCACATCAGAGGACAAGATCCAACAACGATCACATACCTGAGCCACCTCCATCATATTGGACGATGACCTCATTCTGATACATCGCATACTCTAAGTTGAGGACATCATACAAACCTTTTGCCAAGGAACTCCCCGTTCCATACAACAGGATCTTCTGGAGACCCGTTTGATACGTGATGTTTTGAACAGGGATGCCATTGCATTTCATGTATTCCAGCCTTTGTTTTGCCTGATCTCGCAACTTACTATCAACATCACATGGTCCAACCTTTGTCAAACCTTCTCCTTCAAATCAGTCGGAAGCATTCCAAAATGGTTTTCATGTGCAACCTACACCGATCGTCATTGAGACAACGGAATTCGACTAGGGGATGGGATACCGCAGCAACGCGATCCGAGGTGAGTATCCAATGAATATAATCATGGAGAGCCTTGGCTTTCATGCAAACATCGTTCGATCCAGTCCAATTTGTTGGGACCATGATATACCTAACAGCCGATCACTTTACAAGACGACAACAATGCTTCTGCCACACGTCATGGTGGAGATTGGCCAGGCATCAGTGGCATCAGGACTGAGGATGTTGGCACAAAGTCCCATGGGGCTGCAGTTTCCTTCAGCATTGGGATCGCTCAATGCAAATGCCTTCGCCCTGACAGCCGCCTCAACTGTATCAATGCTCACAGACACCTGTTGCATTCTTGTGAGTGGAGAGTAGGAGAGGAAGAGGCTAGAGAGAGTAACAAGAAGGCATGGAATGCAGAGCTCACAGGGTTTCCAGCAGATCCTATCAGCTGGGCGATGATAATGTCCCCGCTCTGCGCTTCTTGTACAATCCGATTGTCATAGGCTGTATATCCGACGGAATATGGGTCACTGCGGACCAGGTTGATCATATCAAGGCTTGTTTGCATGTAAGTGAGAGATTGGCAGGTCCCGTTCAAGTTCTGCGTCGCATTGGATGCTCCCACAACGTACATAGTGCCAATCACGAACAGGAAGTAGACGAAATTATGTCTCGTCTCTGTGAATTGCCGCCAGGGAAGCCCTGGAGGCTTATTCACAGACAATGGACAAGATGCCATGAACGGGAACCCGCACTAGGGTGGGTGGACGAACATGAGGGAGGGTTTTTCACAGCACACAGGACAATCGTGAGGCCCAGGTCCTGACCCCATTCATCGTCTGGGATCAGAAGACGAGGGAGCAGAAGGAAGAAGAGGTGAGTAGAGGTAGGCAGGAAGACGAGGGATGACTGAGAGAACGGAAAGTATGGAGAGGTATGTGATGAGAGGGTAGGATGGCGAGGAAGAAGCGAGGAAGAAGCGAAGAAGAAGCGAGGAGGAGGCGAGGTCGGCTTTCAGTGAGGAACAAAATGGAGTGTAGGGGGAGGCGACAGTGAAGTCAGGGAGGGTAGGGTATTTTAAGTGTGGATTGACGTGGTGGGGTAATATTCTAAAAAATTGAAATGTTTGGAGAAAAATTGATATTTTGAGATGAAAATATTTGAACATTTAAACAAAATTGCTCAGGGCCCGGAGAAGTCCGGTGAAGGCGGCGTATCGTGTCGGAAGGTTTGTTCGCTCACTTGAATCGAAAGTCCGAGCCTCTCAGTCACCCGAGTCCTGAGTCGGACGCGCGCCGGGGCCCGGCCCGGCCGCCCGGCCGACACTTCATAGCGTTGTCGCTCTCAACTGACCCCTCTGGTTTCCAATAGTTTTCTGTGGGGGTATCCTTCCACACATGTGAATAGCAAATGGCAGTTGGGGTCTGGGGTGGGTCAGACGGCTGGGAGCTGATTCAAATTGGTTGAGACCTGTTTAAGGGGGTAGGGTACTTCCTGGTAGCAAATAATTGTACCAACAGTACCAATTTTATGGTACATATTCGAGTACTGTTAGGAAAACTTGTACCAAAATAGTTTATGCGGTACCTCCCCTGTTCAAACTATGATGCTTTGGACCCACCTGTTTCCCAGTGAAAGTCCCTTCTCCGATGGGGTCAAGTTTTGGACCCTACCCTGCCTCCGACCAACATAGACCACCCTTGTAGATCAGAGGGAGCTCTCAAGCCTTGCCCCTTCCCTTCCCTGGTTGCATATCCAAGGTTAGCAAGTGAATGTTACGCAGACGTGACTCATCTGCAGCAGGAGAGCTCAGACGAGGACAAGCAGAGGCAATCCCTGCAGAATCTGGTGTGAGCGCAGCAGTCTGAAAACATCTCTGTGATTGCAAACACATGTAAAGAGGGTTGATCATCATAGATTTTAGCAGCTTGAATAAGGAGTACTCCGCACGGACCGTCCGCTAGTGGCGCTGTACGATGGATGACATTGACTCTCATGAGCAATAAGTAGGAAGTCATGAAGCATGTCACGGAGACAGCATGATCTATACTTATTTCATAGGAATCTGCTGCAAAGAGTCGGGCTTGAGGGCGGTCTGAGCAATATGCAAGAGTATTGCCAAGGCATGTAAAGAGTTTCAAGGAATACCAGTGCATTCATCAAATGGCAGTGATGAGGTACCACATGAAGGCATGACTTGCAAATTGATTGCATGTCGTGTTCTATTTCATGACTTACAATCAAGACGCTTTGAGCGACAAAACGATACCCCTTGTAGCATTGTAAATCATAGTTCATTTCCTTCACCTCGAGTCGAAGCAAGAAATTTTCAAGGTGCTGATATCTTTGTTGTGACTAGACTGACTTGGTGTCAGGAGCAGTTAATTGATGTTGGATGCGATTGAATCATGCAGACGAAAATGGACATACCCTTTTGAATAAATTTTTCTTCTCGAGTCTCATACCAGAGCTTTCTTGCCTCTTTCTTTGTAACCTAACATGTACAAAGCATTGGCATTTTCTTACACAAAGTAAACTGAGCCTGACCAGCTTCTCTTATTCGCTGCATTCTCGCCCTTCCATCATCCTGATCTTTTCCTCGCTTGACACCCTTGGGCCAATGCGAGTTGCATGCTGCGATATCATCAATTGTTTGGAAGGAACCAAGCGATAAGTGGAACAAAGCGCTCAGGTGCTATGCAGGCTGCAATGCATCGCCGGCATTCCAACCATATGGATAAGTTTGCCAACTTTGCGCTGCTCATATTACTTGCAGCAAAAGTCAACCATTCCAGATGATAAGGACAATGTATGAGACTTGCGCAGAAGAATGTGCAAACACGACGGTGAGTGTGCACGATTCCACATATACAAGAATGCTGCGCAGAAGCATCTACCAATTCCTTGTTTAACCACTCTTTTGATGAATGAGCATCGACTTCTCTAACATGTACATCAGGTCATGCAGGCTCATGTAAAAATGATGATGTTGTTAGCAACAACTTGGCTTTGTTTTATTGAAGTACGTTGAAAACATCACCTAGGCCGCTACATATTCCCATGTCCGCTTTGCAACAGTTCTAAACCACGTATCACCATAAAGTTGTACATCATTCGACTAGTCCGATAACATCTTCATGTAGAGTCTCAGTTTTAAGCACAACGCGGTTTGTCGGAGCGATACTGTGACTTGTTTGCCTGGTATGATTACATGTGACATGCTCTCTTACACAATTGAAGAGTATTGTAGAAAATTCAGTCAAGCGGTGCACAGTTCAGCCTTGCTTTCTTGCTATTCATCAAACATAGTGTATCAAACAGATGTCATCGTGTGGATCGACGCAAAATAAAGATGAACTCGAAGTTCTGTCTGAAAAATGACCCTTTGCAAGTACTGATGGATCGAGAGCAAGTTCTTGATGCTGTATCATTGAGAAGTAAAATGACAGTCATAAGCCAGTGCTATACGACTCGTATCCATCAGCTTGAAATATGAACCACTGAGTTTCATTCCATGAATCATCTTTCCTCCCGCATTCAAACTGAGAAACTCAGTGCTTGTCAACTCATGGGCATGGTTTCAGAGTTTGAATTTCCAGCAAGTTGAGGAAGGACAAGGCAGACAGAAGCGTCAAAGAAAGTTGAGGGTCATCAGGGAAGGTCTGACGAGAGTCTGAGACTCATGGACAGGGAAGGATAGGGATGCGCAAGTGCGGAGGGCAGGGAGATGGGGAGGGAGACCCCCTCTGCTAAATGTATTTTAAAAGGTACCCATTACAGTACCAGACCAAGACCTGTACCCCCCACCCCCCTGTCGCGTCCGTTGGGTTCGAATATTTGAAATACTACCACGCCTACCCATCAGGTTCTGGTACAAATCATTACTCCACTATACAAGGGCCTAAGTGATCCTATGCAAAGGCAATAGGAACAACTGTTTACTTATCTAAGCTCTCAATTACCCCCGGTTGCCGTTGAACGGGCAGCGCTGGAAATGGATTTTCAAACCTTCCAATCCTTCGATTTTTTACTCACACACAATTTTCTACTGGAAAATGCCTGGATCTGGTACAAATCCCAATTGTCAGCAAGTTCCTTGACCCGACAACGCTATGGCCCTGTGGGCTGCGATCGGACTGGCACGCCGGACGGGGCCGGGGCGGCCGGGCGGCGGCTCAGCGGCCTGAAGGCTGTCACATTACGCAGTGACGTGAACGAACGGCACACTGAAAATTGAATCATTACATGGTGAACTATGTTACATATTGACTATCAGTATCATGAGGCTGTCACTGCTGCCCATCGCTGATTGACTCGCCGAGGGTCGCGGACCTGGAATCTTGGCCGCATCTGAGCTTAGTCATCATGTGCTATCCAGCCGTAGCGCGCTATTCCATCCTGCAGTTGGAAATGTCTCAGTGAGTGCACTGAGTAGGCTTTTACCACTGTCGTGACACTACGATCCTGATCGGATCATGGCTGTTGCGCCGATGAATTCACCTGGAGGAGGAGGAGGGAGCAGCAGAGGCCAGCAACCAAGAAGGTGAAGGACGTGTCAAGCTATCAAGCTGCATGTCAAAAAGCGCAACGCAAGGACTGGTAATGGGCAGCAGCTCACCAGCAGCGTCATTTCCCGGGCGCTCCCTGTAGTGCTTTCTGAGAAGTGCCTCCCATTGTGATAGTCTCCCGGCTGCACCCTGCTCATGCGCTATCAGCCTTCCTGTCGCTCTTCCCTCGCTCAGTGCTTGCCAGCCATTCGCGTCCTGCAGCAACGGATTCCGCGAGGACGAGCTTGAGTCGATGGAGCCGACGGCTCCAATCAAGTCCCTCTGGCTCTGATGATCGGTTCGCTGCATCAGTTGAAGGGAAGAGGCAGGTGGGGAAATCTCACGCTGGATCCTTGCAGCGAGTCAGGATGTTCCAGCATCCGGAGGGTAGTCTTGATGCTGCACCTGTCGAACGGATCTGCGTGAGAGGAACAGGGAGGAGGAGGCTATCGGCAACCTCATCCTTGAGAGGATCCCCAGAGAGCAGTAATGACGGCAGATGAGAACGGCTGAAAAAAGCTGAAAAGCGACTCCCCAGCAGTACCAGGCCAGGAGGTTATCCTGGAAGCTAAAGAGAGCGGGTGAATGACCTTCTTCTCAGTTTTCAACATGTACCCGGGCTGCAGCACGCTGGGTACAGACCACTCTGCTCGGGCAGGATCCAGCATGAGGAGCACAAAGCCTCCTGGCACGATGAAGATTGATTCCAGGATGGTGAAGTATAGTGGCGTCCTGGTGCTCCAGTAGTGCAGCGCGATACCGAGAGCACTGCCTGCCATCGTCTGGACGCGGAGGTCGTCAGCGAGCGGGCTTCAAGCACAGAGCCCTGCCAGACCTGCCCCAGAGAGTGAAAGCCCCACGACATCCTTTCGCACATGACAGCCATCGTAACGAAGGCTCCTGTCGCCGTCATCTCGAAGCTCGATGAGGAATCCCAGATGAAAGCGCCGACAAGCGCCTGCTCGATCTGTCAAGATGCTCCCATGCACACCTTCTCCTTCACCCCCATCATTGAGTCACCACTCGGCATCCCATAAACGCTTCCGATCCTTCGGGCCTTCATCATTCATGTCAGGGCTTTCACCTTCCTTGCTAACCAACACCTTCTCATCATTGTAACTGCAAGTGCAAGGCCTGCTCTGGCGAAAGACAGTGTACAAAGCTACATCCAGGACGAGAGAGTAACAACAGCGATACAGGAAATGCAGAAGGCTGATCTGTTTTCTCACTTTCACGTCCTGTTAACTCAGATTGTCAAAAAAAAGTACCTTGACCGCGAAATAGGATGCTGGCGAGATGCTGATGGACCTTGAGTACCTTACTACGACCTGGTTGAGAAGAGTTGGTCAACAGGAATATATCTTCAGTGGAACGTCATCCTTACAGGTAAAGCAAGCAACAGTGTTGTCACGGTGACAGCAATTCCACGGGGATTCACAAATGGCTGAATGATATCTAGGTGGCAGCGGTGAGTAAAGGCGTTCGGACGTCGAAACGACAAACCTCCGATAAATGTGAAGAGACTTGGAGGATACCTGTCACGCCATGAATCAGGGTTCATCAAAATCGGCATAGAAGGAGCATACTCGTATAAGCATCTGTTTAGCAAAGTATCGTCGTTGTTGTTTGTACAGTTCGTTCGAGGCAAGCTGTACATACTTCCCTCTGAGCAGATTCTGTAAGAAAGTAGTCTCAGTAAGGCATAAGATAATTCATCCCTGTTTCGCTCTCACGTCCCATTTCATGCAACCTTCTGCCAGCTTGATTCAGTCTCCCCTCTCAGTGAATTTTCATTTTGCCAACGAGACTTTTCTTGGTTCATCTTTCGCTCTGTCTCAACGACATCTCTCTGTGTAAGTATGCCTGATTCTTTCGCTTGCTCACACTCCCCCTCCCTCCTCTCCTCCCCACTCCTCTCGAAATCTTCATGTCTCTGCCCACATAGCTCCAAAGTGGTACTCGTGGGCTGCCATGAATTCATTTCCACAACATTCAACGGTCTGTAACGTACCGAAGAAACGGATTATCATCACTGTAACGTTTTATAACTGACTTTGGGTTGTTGACTGAATCCCATGATCACGGTCGAAGGTTATGGACTACCAAGGGTGGGGTCCTTCAACCTTCCTCGTTGACCCTACGAAAGGGGGGGTATTTCTTCTAATTTGAAGGGGTGGAGGTGGTCATTGATCACCGTTAAGTTGGATTAGGTAGGTAGGGGGTTGCAGTCAGTGAGGACTCAATACTATGATATGCCGAAGGGTACTACCGGGGTACCTACCGAGAAGACGGAAGTTCGTCCCTCATGTGAGTAGGGGTATCATCCCATAGTATTTTGTGTTATTTAGGGGGTAGGGGGTATGATAGTCAACAATAGGATTGGGTAGGGGTGCTGACCCGCAGTGAGAACGGATATCAAAATTCTAAATAGGCTCTGAAAAATTGGGGGGTGGGGTAGCCAAGATATCGGAACGAAAGGGGGTAGGGTGGTGTGAAACAGAAAAATAGATGGGTATTTTCCTGTTGGTCGGAGGGGTACAATTGCACCCCAGGGCCCTACGATCGGATCGACAGGAGCCGGGGTAGGGGTCCATCCCCCGAGTGAAGGGGTAGGCTGAGTTGGGGTGGTGAGGTTTGGTTTTTGGGGTTGTTGGTCCAAAATGCGATGGCAGTGAGGGAGTGTGGGGATGAGGATGGAGCGAAAGCGAAGTTGGGAGCTCGGGACATTGAGACTTCAGTTTTTCATGTCGTAGGAAGATCGGACTGACGCAAAGCGAGGATGCATGGAGGCCGCGGCGGAGCTTGTAACCATGCTCGTTGTTTGATGATCGTTCGTTATATAAGCCTGTACGGGATATGTCGAGATACCTGCAAACTTGATGGCAATGAGGCAACCTGATGAGCAGATATGAACAGAAGCTACTGGATATGCCATGCAGTGAGCCGAATGAGTTGTGAGGGACTTGTCAGCAAATGTGTGGGGTTGGAAACAGTCTGCTGTAATCAATTAGGAGAGGTGCTGTAATCGAAAAAGAATTCCTCTTGGGAGACAATTCAAACATCCCTATAGAACATATGGAGATATAAGAGAATTTCTGCAGTGGCAGACTACTGCTGCGTAGGCATCTAGATTGACATGAGGATAGGGGTTTCGAATGTATAACCAGTTCAGAAACAATTGCGTCTCAAGCACAAGTCAAAGAATTGCAGGGTGCTAAATTGCATTTGCAGCCTCTTCCAAACAACCTCGCTGCTGAAAGTGGGTGAAAAAGGTTCCAAGGGCCCAGGCTAGAGCCAGGATCTCAAGTGCTGCTACGAAATCTGTACCTCCTGTCTGTCACGGTGAGGAACGAAGGCTGTGCAGGAACTCTTCATGACCAAGACAGGTGAGCACCAAGATGGCTGTTCGTGTTGTGCTGCTCAGCGGTGGCTCATTCCTTCAATGGCTCACCCGTTAACCCAGATTAAGGCTGAGAAGATCTTAAAAGCTTGCTTTCTACTTCTGGATTCATTTCATGACTGAGATATTCGCTGCTCTGATATGTAGACCTCCGAGGTAAGTTCCCTGTTCGGCCCACTGAATGTCCCTAACGCACGCGATCCCAAGGCACTCATACACGTTGACGGACTTGGGCCCAGCTCGATTTCGGATGGATGGTGAGAAGGAGCCTTCTCCGAATGATAAGTGAATGTGCGTGAAGGAAAATTGTATTCAAGGACAGATTTACAGCTCTACAACAAACGAGGGCAGGTCAGTGATGAATGCCGCTGCTTCCTCCATGGTTCCTCATTCTGATTGCTGTAATTGGTACAGAGAATAGAGTGCAGCCACTACCGAGCTGGTCCCAACGAATTCAATGATTATCAACCATCACCTTGTGTGGTTTATCTGCATGGTGTCTCTCTGCTGTCAATCAAAGCTAGGTCGTGATACATAGAATTTTCAGGGAATTGTGGCAGCCGTGTTGATGCTGATGAAGTATTGAATCTTCTCTCTGAATAACCACATTTCACTTTTTCTTGCACAGATCGTAGAAGGACTTCTTGAAGAAGGAGTCTCGGTGTTTTCATTGGATTTCTCTGGGTGAGTTCGGATCACGTTTGAAATGCTCACTTATTGTTGCTTGCTGAAAATCATGCAGTTGCGGTCTGAGCGATGGGGATTTGGTCTCTCTTGGATTCTTTGAGCAGGTGACTCCTTCGTTCAGGGGAAAAAAGTCATGTTGAATCACATTTTTACACAAGGATGACCTGTCTTGTGCGCTTGAGTACTTGGCAAACGATCCAAACACAACATCGGTATGTCTCAGTCCTCTCCTCAGACGTGGTATTATCTTGACATAAAAACAAAAGGTGGCCATCTGGGGTCGAAGCATGGGAGCAGTTGTTGCTTTACTGGTCGCTGGGAGTGAACAGTTTAAGGGGATTGCATGCTTGGTGATAAGGCAGATCCTTGAAGCATTTGGCAAGCTCACTCCATTTGCAGATTTTAGACTCTCCGTATTCATCACTTCAACAGCTTCTAGAACAACTGGCTCATAAGTACATCCCTCAGGTACCCATCTCGAAATAAGATACAGTTGTTGACTCTTGTTGCTCAGGTTCCACTGCTTCCTTACGACAAGGTAGAGTTTAAATTCATTTTGCTGTTCCCCGTCACATGGCATATATATGATTGCCGTGGTGTAAACAGGTCGTAGAAGCTGCTCTTCTCTCTCTTCGCCAGGCTGTACGGCAGGTGTGATGAGTGGGAGAAGATTCTGTTGCATTCGAAACTTACGACTGCTTCGCTTTGCCTCAGAAAGCAAACTACGATCTCTTTGATGTGGAGACAACTTCTCCTGCGAGCAGGTCTGCAAGAAACGATAATCCAAACGAGGTTCCCTTATCTCTGTCCCACAAGATGCCGCATGCCGGCTTTGTTTGCCCACGCAAAAGACGACCAGCTCATCCCAGCAACACATTCGAAGTTGCTGATGGACGCTTATGCTGGGGAAAAAGTAAGATTTATTGGTAATTTATAGGTTTCCAATCTCGTTTTCAGGAACTTTTGGAGCTTGATGGAGATCATAATAGCGCAAGGTCTTGTCACATTGCACGGCTTCCCAGGAGTCTAAATACCTCTCGTCGCAGGGAAGGTGAATACCTCAAGAAAGTCTCATCGTATCTGGTCCGAAACCTCTCGTCCTCACCTCCTCTGACCATCGAGGTGGTTTGAATTTGTCCTTCTCCGACCATCCGATATGCCAAGTGACATGGAACTCGAAGCAGAAGTCGAGGAAAGAAGTCACCGAAAAGAAGGGCCTCGAGCAGCAACACAATCAAAATCCTGTCGCTTGGTTTTCAAGGCAAGTTCGCAATCGTACGGCGAAAACCTCAGTGCCAGTTTTAATTGTTCTACTCAGTTTTGTTGGCGGACTCTTCCAAGCAGAAACAGCTAGATGATGCAAAGACCGTTGGCACCGGGGAGTCCGAAAGCCTATGGGCCGTCGACCTTGACCCCCGGGCCCGGCGGCCGGCTAACTTGAAGGCTTAGTGACTTGTCAGACTACTAGGCTAGTGACGGACTCCGGGAGTAACACGTAATCGGCCATCGACCCGGATTATCGCTCGTCATGACGGTAGCTGCGATGCCATGATCCGCCGGATAGCGGCCCGGCCCGGCCTACTAGGCTAGACTACCGGGCGCGCGTACTACGGTACCCGGTACATGGCCCACCGTCACTGTGACAGTGTCACAGTCTGGCTTCGTCCGGGCGGGGGGCCTCGCAGGCTCAGCCCGGGCCTGGCAACCGTCCGACCCGGTCAGCCCGGTGTGATCACTGTCATCATCAGCCCGGCCGGACTGACTCCCCGGTCAGACCCCTGGAAATCACTGACTCGGACCCCGCTCAGTCACTGTCGCACGCCGGGCCGCGCCCCCGGCCGGTGCCCGCCGCCGCCGCCCCGGCCGGCGAACTTCGAACTCGGAACTTTTAGAACTTTGGAACTTTGAGCTGTTTCCAAGTTTCGCTGCCTGAGCGATCCGAAGTTTCGCTGCATAGCAAATTTTCTGGAACTTTATGCCAGGGGGGTGGGTAGGCCTTGAACAAGTTGTAGGAACGAAGATTGTGGGGGTGGTCTGAAACCAAAGGGGGTGATGCTCCTTCGACATTTGGGGTAGTACCTGGGAAAATTGGGGGTAGGGTCCACTTCAGTCAGCACCACCTGATGACTGAAACTTGGGGGTGGGAGTGTTCAGAATTGTTTGCGAGACCCGGGGGTTGGCACTTCTCCATGGGTAGGGTGGTCTCATTTGTCAGAAATGGTGGGGTGGTGCACTGATAAGGCACTTGTACAAGGGTCTATTGTTGCGGGGTAGGGATGCATGGGTAGGGTACTGAAAAAGGGGCCACTACAGGGTATTTCGAGTCGGAAGGAGGGGTGCATGAAATAGTTGGTTGGACAATGGCGAGAGCGGTGGTAGGGTGCTAGAAAAAGTCAGGAGTAGGGGTAGGAGTAGGGGTGGGTAGGGAGTACACTGGGGGTACATCACAGGGGAGGTGGGTTGGTGGGTCGCAGAGGCGGCATCGCAATGTTGCGCCGGGGCGTAGCGGAGGTGAGATGATGGCGAATAAGAAGACGAAAACGAGGATAAAGATGATGGTCATGATGATGATGATGATGATGATGATGATGATGATGGAGGAGATTATGATGGAGATGGAGATGATGGAGATGGATATGATAGAGATGGAGATGGAGATGATGGTGATGGAGGAGATGATGGAGATGATGATCACGATGATGATGACGGAGATGATGGAGGTGGAGATGGAAATGGAAATGGCGATGATGGTGGAGATGATGATGATGGTGGAGACGATGATGGTGGAGATGATGGAGAAGATGATGATGGAGACGATTATGGAGATGATGATGGAGATGGAGATGGAGATGGAGATGGAGATGGAGATGGAGATGGAGATGGAGACGATGAAGATGGAGGAGATGATGGAGACGATGATGGTGGAGATGATGGAGATGATGATGGAGATGGAGATGATGATGGAGATGATGATGACGATGGAGATGATGATGGAGATGGAGATGGAGATGAAGATGGAGATGATCACGATGAAGGTGGAGATGATCACTATGGAGAAAAAAGAGAAGACGATGGAGATGGAGATGGAGATGGAGATGATGATATTATGATGAGCAAACACTATGAGCAAGAGAAGGATTTTTTGGACTGCCACGGCCGAAACGCTGTGCGAGGGAATGGGGGAATGGGAATGCTGTCCAGAAAAGAGGTCGCAGGCTTGATAAAGATCTTGGTATGCAAGTCATTATCTCCATGTTCAATCAATCTAGTATTTCACATGCTCAACGTCTTGTCTTGCGTCTGAAGCCATGTTAGTGAAGGGAGTGGGAATTCCATTTCCCCGACAGATAACACTAACTCTGTTAAGATATCTGTGAACTTCCTTGACCAGTGCCCCACAGAAAACCGTCGCTCTCACCAGAGCCAGGGTCGCTAGCAGGAGCTTCCTAGCGACAGGTGTAGAGAAATGAATGAAGACCTTTTTCATTGTCGAATTTTCAGAACTGACTTGTAGTGTGCCAGCGTCCAAGATCAGACTTGAAAATGCTCGATCATACTCAAGGAAGACAACGATTCCGGATGTTGCTGGAGCCTCCTTCAACATTTGCTCCCAACAAAATCGCAGGCCTCGGATGGTCTTCTTCAGTCAGCAGAGACGTTTTGCTTCTACCTTCAAAGTAACACATTTGACATCTTGAACGCTGAAGTGATTGTTTTGGTTGAATTGCTTTGTGCAGGAGGAGTATGAGAAGCATGTTGCAGAACGTGCAGCACAAGGGATCGTTCCCAAGCCGCTTAGCCCCAAGCAATGCAGTGACCTTGTAAGCCATTAAGTTTTCGCTGCTATTGATGATCGGCCTGCATGTGACCTGGATGCATCTTGCAGGTCGAACTTCTCAAGAATCCACCAAAGGGTGAGGAGGAGTATCTCCTGAATCTCCTCAAGACACGGGTAATATTTCTGGCTTCAATTTTCATTCTTTTTTAATGCTGATCCAATCTCTCCATAGGTTCCTCCCGGTGTTGATGAAGCTGCTTATGTAAAGGCAAGCTTCCTTACCTCGATCGTGAAGGGTAACTTGTTACAGAGTATCAATTACTCTGTTTTGACGTGTCGATTCTTAGGATCTGTCTCCTCGCCTTTGATCAACAAAGCACAGTAATTGGAACTATGTGCATTGATGCTTTCATCTGATATCATTCTCGTCCTTGTCGAACAGGGCTATCGAAATTCTTGGAACCATGCAGGGTGGATACAACGTCGAAACCCTGATTTCTGCACTTGATGATGCTCAACTCGCGCCTGTTGCATCGAAGGTTTGAATTTTCCGCTTTCCTCTGCTTGGTAACTTTCGACTAGGCTCTCAAGAAAACATTACTCCTCTTTGATGCTTTCTATGACGTGGAAGCTAAGGCAAAGGCAGGCAACAGCTTTGCAAAGGAAATCATACAGTCATGGGCTGACGCCGAATGGTTTCTCTCAAAACCAGAGGTGCCAAAGAAGATCACAACTACCGTTTTCTTTGTCAAGGGAGAGACGAACACAGACGATCTCTCGCCAGCTCCCGATGCTTGGTCAAGACCAGACATTCCACTCCATGGATTGGCCATGCTGAAGAATGCAAGGGAGGGAATCATCCCTGACAAGGATGGCGAAATTGGTCCTATGAAGCAGATTGAGGAGTTGAAGAAGAAAGGACACCCTCTGGCTTACGTAGGAGATGTTGTTGGTACTGGTTCTTCCAGGAAGTCTGCTACCAATTCAGTGTTGTGGTTCATGGGGGAGGAAATTCCTTTTGTGCCAAACAAGAAGTCTGGTGGTGTTTGCATCGGAGGAAAGATTGCTCCCATTTTCTTTAACACCATGGAGGATGCAGGTGCCTTGCCAATCGAGATGGATGTCACAAAGATGAACATGGGCGATGTGATTGACATTTATCCATACGAGGGAGTTGTGAAGAACAATGCAACTGGAGAAGTCTTGTCTGAATTCAAGCTCAAGACTGAAGTACTGTTGGATGAGGTTAGAGCAGGCGGAAGAATTCCTCTCATCATCGGCCGTGGATTGACATCAAAGGCCCGAAAGTCTCTCAACTTGGAGCCATCCAAAGTTTTTCGACTTCCAACTGGTGCCTCAGAGAAGAAGCCGGCAGGCTATACACTTGCTCAGAAGATCGTTGGCAAAGCTTGTGGCGTCGAGGGTGTTTCGCCAGGCACTTATTGTGAACCCGCGATGACTACTGTTGGCTCGCAGGATACTACAGGCCCGATGACTCGTGATGAATTGAAGGATTTAGCTTGCCTTGGCTTCAGTGCTGACTTGGTTATGCAATCTTTCTGCCATACTGCAGCATACCCCAAGCCCGTTGATGTTGTCACACATCACACTTTGCCAGATTTCATCCGTACTCGTGGAGGTGTCTCCCTTCGACCTGGAGATGGAATCATCCATTCATGGCTCAACAGGATGCTTCTTCCTGATACGGTCGGGACTGGAGGCGATTCTCATACTCGATTCCCAATTGGTATCTCCTTCCCAGCTGGCTCTGGCCTGGTAGCTTTTGCTGCCGCAACCGGCGTGATGCCCCTTGATATGCCAGAGTCGGTGTTGGTCCGATTCAAGGGCAAGAAGCAGCCAGGAGTTACGATCCGTGATCTTGTACATGCCATTCCGTACCAGGCGATCCAGGATGGACTTCTCACAGTCGAGAAGAAAGGAAAGAAGAACATCTTTTCCGGACGCATTCTCGAGATCGAGGGTTTGCACAACATGACAGTTGAGGAAGCATTCGAAATTTCGGATGCCTCTGCCGAGAGGAGTGCAGCCGGGTGCACAATCCAGGTTGACAAGGACAAGATCATTGAGTACCTGAACTCGAACATCACGATGCTCAAGTGGATGATTAGCGAGGGATATGGCGATGCCCGTGCGATGGAGCGAAGGATTGCGTCCATGGAAGAATGGCTCAAGAATCCAGTCTTGCTCAAAGCCGATCCTAAGGCGGAGTATGCTGCCACCATCGAGATCGACCTTGATAAGATTAAGGAGCCTATTCTCTGCGCTCCTAATGACCCCGACGATGCCAGGCTGTTGTCTCAAGTTCAAGGAGACAAGATCGACGAAGTGTTCATTGGATCATGCATGACCAATGTCGGACATTTCCGAGCGGCTGGCAAGCTGCTTCGCGAGTTTACCGGCCAGATCCCAACCAGGCTGTGGATTGCGCCCCCAACAAAGATGGATGCGGGTGTGCTGACTGAGGAAGGTTACTACTCCATCTTTGGACGTGTGGGCGCTCGTATCGAGATGCCAGGGTGCTCTCTCTGCATGGGTAACCAAGCTCGAGTCGGCGACAGCACCACCGTCGTCTCCACCTCAACCAGGAACTTCCCCAACCGTCTTGGCAAGGGAGCGAATGTCTACCTTGCCTCCGCAGAGCTTGCAGCTGTCGCTTCCATCCTTGGGCGTCTGCCAACTCCAGCTGAGTACTTGGAGTATGCGGCGAAGATCAACTCGACTGCCGCTGACACCTACCGCTACATGAACTTTGACAAGATGGAGAGCTACGTGAAGAGTGCGGCGAAGGTTGAAATCTCAGCGGAAGCTCGAGAGGCGGCAAAGAAGCATTTCTCGAAGTAGAAGCAAGGAGTGGGAGTTAAGTGTGTTGAGTCTGGTTGTGTGAGAGGAAGTGTAATACGATGGTTGCTGACAAACAGTCACAGTGAGTCTCTTTAAAGACAGAAAGGATGGGAAATATAGGTAATGAGTTCAGAAGTACTTGTAGGCATCTTCCCCGCCCAGGTCGACGGGGAGTTGAGAGACGTCAAGGAATTCCTTGAGATCATTTTTCTTGGCAAACTTCACTTTCGCCTGCCACTTCGTCTCACCACCCCTCACGCCTCTCACATTGCTCCGGTTTTGCCCCCGCTCTCGTTCCTAGTCAGCTTCCCCCCTCCCTCGCTTTCGCACATGCCATCCTGTCCTACCCTGTACCGTTCTGTCCTGCCCTGCCCTGCCCTGCCCTGCCCTGCCCTGTCCCCGCTCTCTGCAGCTCGCTCTCTATCTCGTCTACCCACCTCCTCACAACCGCGCTCACGCAGATCGGACCTGAGTGACAGGATGTAGCCATGGGCGGATGACAACCCAGAAAGCAGAGAAGAGCACGGGGGCAGAGAGGAGGAGGCACACCCCCTGCGGTTCCCGTCACGCTGAAGCAGCAGCTTTCTCCTCACCATCCGCTCGGGGTAGAAGTTGGTGAGCATGTAGATGACGCGCTTGGCCGCTCGGTAGTCGATGTTGGACGCAGTGATACCCTCCTGTAAGGTGCTGCGTCAGATGAAGGAAATCTGATGATTGCGAGGAAGGGACCAGGTTGAAGATGATCAGAAATTGATCTGGTCCCGACGATCCTTCTAGCCAAGTCAGGATTGGATGAGCAACAAGCATCGACTCAGTAGAAGAGGGAAAGAGGGAGCCCGAGACACGTTGTGGCAATGCAAGGCCGAGCGGAGTGATGGAAGAGAGGGAGGGATTGGTGGGAAAACGAGCAAGTGGTCTTGTGAAAGAGCAAAACGGAGGAGGACGAGAGGAGGGAGGGAGGAGTGACAGTAGTGGAGGGTTACCATCGTCGGCAAGAAGGGCTTCGGCGGAGTTCAGGAGGTAGACGCCGAAGATAGTAAGCTCATCGTAAGTTTGAAAGTTGGGATCGTGCCTTTGTCAACAGAAAGGTCACGAAGGGGGAACAATCGGCCAGGGTGCAACTAAGTACTCACTGCTTCACGTTGACCACAATCACAGGACGGTTGTTCTTGTCTCGAGCCCTGCACCGTCCACGTCATCATCCCGTCATCGAAACACGCAGGCCATTCCGGCTTCACCTCAGTATGTAGCATTTCCCTGTACTCAACTGCCTCTGCACTCCAGGAGACGTCTGATCGATCTTCTTCACCTATATCTCCATCACCATGACATGATTCCTTCCGTGCCTCCACCAGCTGCCTCCCCTACCTCCCCCCATCTTCTTCCCTCCCCTCCCTCCTCCCCCCCATCACCTCCCTTCCTCCCCCCATTCCCCTAGCTGCGCACCCTCCCTTCCTCTCCTGACTCTCCTCCCCTCGTGGCCTCCCCTCCCTCCCCTTGCTCCTCTGTCTGCACCGGGAAGTCTAGCCCATAGCTGCACGATTCCTTCCAAGCAAAGAATCTCCTCAGCTTGTGAGCAGCTTTGCCGGCATCCTGCCAGCAAGAATGAATGACCTCGTGGTAATCAGTGAGCAGATAGAAGCATCCGACCATCTGGTGTGCTCGGAGGAAGCGCCTGAGCAGTTTTTCGTCGATGTCATCAACCTGAGTGCAGCGGCTCGATCCCTGGCTTGCAACCACAGCGATCTCTGCTCACCTTGATGTCCTCGTCAAGGATCTGCATGGACTGGCTGCTCAGATCGCTACTAGACAGACCTTGAATGCATGCATGTGACATGGCGCGCAGTCAGAGACGCGCACGGACCTTCGCTCAGCTCCTCCTTGCCTGCACCCTCCGTCTTCTTCGTCTTGCTCATCTCTTCTTCCGTCGGAGGCTGCCGGAGGATCTCCCGCATATGTGCAACAGCCTCTGCCTCTTCCTCCGCCTCCTTCCCTCCCTCCGCCTCCCTCCCTCCCTCCTCCCCGCCTCCTCCTCCCACATGGCGCGCGAGCATTCCCCATACCATGGCGCTGGGGAAGCTCTATATGGGGGCAAAGTAGTGGGGTGGGGGTGGGTCATTTTACACATGTCAAACGGATGGGGGTGGGTCCATAACCCGGCGTAGAGTTGACATGGTGTAAATCCATTTGATAGGAGGGGTCCAATCTCCTCTTGGTGATTTTAGGGGGTAGGGGTGGTAGAGATACATCATAGTAAGGTGGGGGTAATAAAAATGAATGTCGGGGCAAACAAGGGAGGAGAGGAGGAGGAAGAGGAGGGGGGAAGGGGGGGAGGATGAAGAGGAGGGAAGGAGAAAACGATACCACGAGACGATCCCACGTTCACAAGCTTTCCTGCTTGCTGGACAAAGGAGCATCGAAAATACATCAAAGAGGTCTTCCAGTTCAGTTTCAACTTTGTTTCCGCGCACTCAGCTCCATGTGTTAACCATTTACAAGCAGCCATATCAACATCACCACATATAACATCACAGGCGGCACAGAGAGGCTGGGTCAAGACACCATGCTGTCCTGCAACAAGCCCTCCAACAGCGTGTCTGTGCCGCGTCTCGGAATCGACTTCTTGCTCTCGAACGTGTGCATTCGAACCCATCGGTGCGAGATCAATCTCCTTGCCTGCCATGGACAAGTCAGCTCCAGCAAACGCCTTCGTCCCCTTCTCCTTCTCACCTTGGGCCGTCGCGAGGCCTCTCGTTGCAGGCAGGATAAGATGAAGCTCCTCCCTGCGCATGGGACGTCAGCGATCGGGCAAGATCCTTGCAAGAGATCACAACCTGTCTCTGAGAGCCCTGGGGGCAGCTCTGGCAGATCCTCCGACTTGGCTATCTTCATCAGCACCGCCATCGTGTTCAACCCTTCCCATGGCATCTTCCCAGTCATCAGCTCCACCACCGTCATCCCCAACGACCAGATGTCCGCCGACCTTCCCGCATGCTGCGAGAGGAGCAGTCAGCGAGGGTGAGGAGCCTCCTCACCGGCATGAGAGCCCTCGGGAATGAAGCACTCACCTTGTCCAGAACGATCTCCGGCGCCATCCAGTTAATCGTCCCAGCTGGGTCCCTGCCCGAGCTCGGCTCCTTGTACCATCCTGTGCTGTCTGTGTGCAGGTCATGGCCGAAGTGAACGTCGAACATCCTGCTGGCTCCGAAGTCCGCGAGTTTCGCGATCATCTTCAAGGACTCGACTCCCTTCGCCGATGTGATCTCGTTGTCCATTGCAGGGAAGAGCAGGCAGTTCGCACCCTTGATGTCTCGGTGCAGGATGCCGTTGTTGTGGAGGTACTCCAGCCCCAGCAGGAGCTGGGCTGTGTACTCCCGTGCAACGGTCTCCTCGAGGCCCTTGCTTGCTTTCGCGAGGTCTGCCAGCGATCCGCCATGTGCATACTCCATGAGGATGAAGAGTGTTGTGTCCGTCCGCTCTGAGCCGAGGAGGGTAACGATGGAAGGATGCGACAATGCAGACATGATGCTGATCTCCCTCTCCACCTTCCCAGCTCTCGATCCCATCAGCTCCACCTCCTTCACCGCGACGACTTGCCCTTTCCCATCGTTTCCGTCGACGTCCCAAGCAGAAAACACTGTCCCGAAAGCTCCTTGCCCCAGCAACTTCCCTCGAAACCACCTGAAACGAGTCCCGCAGAACATGTCATTGCCGAAACCATGAGGAATCATTGAGGGAAGATTATCATGACATTTCCTGCAATCGCTTGTCTTCCTTTCATACATCGGCTGCTTCATGTCAGGCGCTTTCCTCGCTTCATCCACTCGGATTAAAACCTTGGCGACCTCGTTGCGAAACCGCACCGACTCGAGCTTCTGCACGATGTCTTGGCATTGAGAAGCAATTTGCAGGAGGAGCTGTCGACGGCCTTCTTGTCCAGTGCTCGTTGACGAGTAAGAGAGGTCCTCGTCGTCGGAGGATTGTGAGCAGACTGAGGTTGTCCGGTAAATGACATCGTCCAGCGCTTGCATCCATAGATCAAGATCATCTGCCCTCTTGCTCGCATCTGATATGACGATTCTTCTCAGAGTTGCAGTCTCCATGTGTGAGAAGTAAGACGAGGAGACCTTGTTCTTCAACGCTATCAACTCCATGTAGACCATCAACGAGGCCGGGTCAACATCGAGCTGCGTGATGATCTTGGAGTTGATGTTCAATCCATCGTCTTGCAGAGACAGCAGGATCATGTCCATAACACACAGGCATGGGATGCCCTGCCAGATGAAGGCCTTCCTGTTCACGAGGTCCGTGCTGGCGATGATGGCTCCGCTGAGAGCGTACATGCATGTCTCAAAGCAGTCGTCAAAGAACGAAGGCCAGATGCTGTTGAAGCGATCGGCAAAATCAGTTGAGTTCGAGACCTGCAAGGAGCTTCACCTCAGAAGAGCATCATCCCATCACAAATGTTACCGTGAAGAAGCTGCGAGCAGACGAAGGGAGTTTGTTCTCCACCACCATATTCTCCCATTTTTTCCTCTGGTTCTCTTCAAAGGATTCCAGCTCTATGATCGAACCCGCTGATATCACGGAACTCGATCTTCGGTAGTCCTGCCACGAGCATCAAACTTGTGAGCAACTTGTGCAAAAGGCGAAGCACCGGAACCGTTGGCAAGGATTCGCTGTCGTCGTATCGCTTCGGAGAGGAACATCCCGTGTTCACTGAAGCACCACAGCCCATCTTGTATCTATCGCGCACTTCGGGACCATCTTGAAGCACGAGACATGGATGATGACGGAAGGTAGAGAAGAGGGAGGGCGGAAAGCAGAGAAGAGGGAGGGCCTTCGATCAAGACTTCTCAACCTCTTCTCAAGAGATCGCCATTCTTTCTCCTCACTACCACCGTTACCAGTTGTTTCCCAAACAGAGAGGTGCAGAGCCTATAAACCCTTGGTGCCCGGATATGTTCAAGAAACCAACGTCCCCTCTGCCCTTTCTCCCTCTTTGTCTTTCTGCCGGTCGGCTAGTCTATCGTTTTGAGAGTTTTGACGGACTCAATGGCTGAAAAGCTCTATTATTTCGTGTCTTTCTGTCTAGCAGTCCGTCTTTTTCCTTGCTTCGACCAACAAAAGCAATCCTCGTCAATCGATAAACTTCAGCTCAGCTTCCCTTCTACTTCATCTCCTCCTCCTCCTCCTCGTCCCTTCGCCTGCTCCTAGTCGCCATTCCGATCATGCTCTAAGAGTATATATATATATTAACTTCGTGATTATAACATACTCTTACACTTTTTCTTCGTGATTATACCACAAAGAATACTACTATTATACTTAGTACCCTTTGCGTATGATAATATTCTCATATCATTACTCTAACAATTTCCTTATAACCTAGTAAAAGTTTAATATTCGCTATCAAACCCTTACACACTATAAATAGCCCGTTTATGGACTGTAAGTAATACCTATGTTATTTAATAATAAACTATATATAGAATATACACCATACTAACAAGTCTTAGTAGTTATTCGTGTGTAGTCTTATAAAATTTCTTCGTGACTCAATTAGACTTATCCCCACACACTAAAACTAACCTCATTACACCTTTTAACATCTTCAATTAATATACTTTCATTTCACATTACACCCTTATAATACTATAAAATCCCTTTCAAATCTAAATCTTACCATATTTCCATTATTGTGTTTAAAAATGATTTAATCTAATAAATAATTACTTATACCTTACTTAATTATGACCGATTCTATGGCACTCTTCTATAGATACCCCCATAATTATAAAAATATTTCTATCATTGACGATGATATCTCCAAAAATCTTAAACTTCTCTATCAACAAAACTATCAATCTAAATTTGAACACTCTAAAGAACATTCCATCGGTCAATATTCCGGACCTAGTTCTTGGACAGAACAACTACAATATTATGATATTAACTCATATGATGATATCAAATCTATTCAATTTGATTCAATACCCTCTAAACCCCTTCATCCTGAATTAGGCAAAATCAGATTCATTAATAAATACACCTTCGGTATTGATACTGACGAAATTCAACATATACTTCTTAATAATCGTCTCACATTCCTTAAAATATTTCAATTCCGTATTGAAAATAATAAAGCAGTTGCTACCATTCTTAATGACCTTAAAGTCTTTCTCAAAATTATTAAAACAGTTCTCGGTGATGAACATGAACTCTCTCGTAAATATCAAAGACTTACCTATGACTTTGATTATATCATCGTCCGTCAAATTGAAGGAGATAACACCCTTAATCAAAAAGAAAAAGCCAATTGGATCTCTTTCCCTACTATCCTTCAACTTAGAGACTCCCTTGAACATGAATGGCGCACTCTACTACAAAATAAACCTATGCTTAAAGATACTAAAGCTGCAGATAAACTCATTTGGACAAAACATTATGCTATGCTCTTACTCAGCTGTTATACTCTAACTCCCCCTGTACGCCGTGAGCTATTCGGAATCAGATTTCAACAATTTGAAAATAATGACTTTGTCTATATTCCTCAAGATATTAACAAACCTGTTGAATATGTCCTTTATACTATCAAAAAACTTCATGAACCTATTCAATATCCTGTAGGGTATGACGAACAATCCAGTTATAAACTATCACAACTTATCCGAGAATCTTATCAACTCTATCCCAGAACATTCCTTTTCCCTACTGTCACTGATATCAATAAACAAGCACAACCTAATACTATAGCTCTGTACTTTCAAAAACATGTTTGTGATAAAGTATACCTCTCTATTAATATAATTCGTTCCAGCTTCATCACCTGGAGAAATCAAAATCCTTATTATACATATAATCAACGTAAAGTTGATGCTAATAAAATGAGAGATGATATTCTTGTCCATCTTCAATACTATAACAAAGTACTTGACCCTGAACTAACCAAACTCAAAGAACAACAAGAAACACGTGCCGGAGCAACCCCCCTATTGAGTTTTTCCACCCCACCCCCTAGCCATCCCACACACCTACCCTATTGTACCCCCACCTACATCATTTTATCTGGCTACCTTGTATCCAGTGGCAGTACCCCTATATTGACCTTTCAAAGTACCCCTATGTTTGACTGAAACTCGTTTTACTGTACTACCCTACCCCCTTTGAATAGCACCTGAGAGTCCCCATATCACTAACACGACCTTGTCTGCGCGACCCACCCTGCAGAGATATATGATTATCAAAGTTGAAATTGAACTTTCTTTGAGAACTTTATATTTGAAAATTAGGAGAAGATTTCTAACTTCCGTATGTGAATCGGTCGATCCTACACCTCCGCTGTGACACCTTCAGGTACCCTACCATGATTACAGATAAAACCCTCTCGTTCACCATCCACCACCCCCTCTTTGTACTTCCAAATCACCCCTTTGATTATCACCCCACCACCCCACTCGACCGGAGATACAAGTTGATTATTATGAAATATCATAGTACTGATTTTTAACTTAACTTCGAGTAAAGGAAATAGTACCGTACGCCACTGTCACTGCTGCCCGGGCCTGGCCCGGCCGGGCCCGGCCGGCGCGGCCGCGGGCCCGCAGCCGCGGCCCCGGCGGGATGACGCCGAACTTGAACGCGCGGCCCGGGCCTGCCGCAGTGCGGCCAGCGGCCTGCCACTGACTCCGACCGAGCCGTGTGACACTTTAACAGTTGGCAGTGCCGGCGGCCCGGCCCGGCCCGGGGCCCCGGCGCCAACCGTTGAACCGTTGAATTGAGAGCCGGGGCCCGGGGAGCCTGAGTCTAGCCGGGCCGCCACTGGCACAGGCTGGCCGCCTCGGACGGGCCACGCCGGTTGAAGTTAGGCCGAGGCGGTCCGACCGGGCCCGGGACTCCGGCCCTGATACTCAGCCCGGCAAAGTTAAGCCGCTCAGTCACTGCGGCGGACTCGAGGCTGGCATGTGACTCCGAGTGACTCAGAGCGGCCAAGCCACCGATGCCGGGACCGGGGGCCCCCGGTGAACTTCCGAGTTCAAGACTCGAGTCACCTGACTTTTTGTGAGCCGTGGCACGTGACGGGCGGCCGCCCTTGTGGCCTCCAGTGGGTTGAGGGGGGATGAGGACCTTTAGAATTGCGCCTGTCTGAACTTGACCAACTTGGCAATGCTGCAACAGAAGACGAGAGGGGAGGAGAAGCGAGAGAGAGGGGGCGGGCGGGCGGGGGGGGGGGAGTGAGTAGAGACAGAGAGAGAGGATGAGG